ATGAAGTAAAACACTGTAAAATCAATGGGTCAAGAAGGTGGGAAAATCAGGTTCACTTAATTTCCAACTTTAAATGTAAGATATACTTTTGAAATGTATGTTGTAATGAAAACACATTGAGATAATCCTACTCTTTGCTGTTAATCTAAATATAAAATGTAATGCCCATATTAATATTCATACTTTTTTTCTTTTTTTTGGTGAGACTGGGGTTTGAAGTCAGGGATCCATGCTTGCAAAGCGGCACTCTACCACTTGAGCCACAACTCCAGTCCTCATACATTCTAATGTATTTTAAAGAAAAAAGTTTTCATTCCTTATTCTGTTCTACAGTAAGCAGTATACTTGATATATTTTATATAGTGTCAATGTCCTTTGTCATCCAAACATACTACAAAACCACTTATCAATTCAAGAACCTGTAAATCACACTTATAAAACAAGCCTAAACTTATTAAAATGTATTCGCTACATAAATGTTACCCACTCCTATCTTAATGTCAATTCAATAAATCTAGTATCTGGATATGCTTTTTAAAGACGTCTCAAACTCAACATTTTCCATATAAAAATGTAGCTCGCCAATATGGTTTATCTATTTCACTATGTTTAAACCCCAAGCTCTGTATGAATTTAAACGTGAACTACTTGTTACAGGTTACACTTGTAAAAGTTATGACACAGACATGCCTAAATCTGATACCTTAAGTGTGTCCAGTATACCCCGATCCTTAAACGTCTGGTACAGCTTTTTGCGCAGTTCATCTTGACTCAAAACATCATACTTGGGGGGCATGTTAGACTGGAAGAGAAAATGGTTACGAGTTACTTGGCGGGCACAGGGGACATGAGCTTCTGAAAACAGGCCAGTGGCCTCTCGGGAAGCCCTAAGATGCCTAACAGGGAAAAGGGCTCTAATGAACACAAACAGGAGACTTTTCTGACTTCCCTTGGATACTGGCAGATGCAGCTACCTGAGCCATTATCAAGGTATCTGCTTCTTCCCCAACCCGCCCGCCGTGATCGGAGCTCAAGCCTCAGCTCAGCTCCGTGATCGGAGCTCGGGCCAGGACGAGCGGGAACCCCTGCCCCGGCCTCGGGCGGTCGGGAGTAAAAAGAGAGCTAAACGTTCCGCCTAGCACTCCAAACTAGAATTGTGGCAAAGATACGGACTTCCTGTTCTGAAGGGTGGGCGGGCCCGTGACACCAACCATGACAAAGGCAGCTGAAGGCGGAAACCAGAAGAGGCGGGGAGAGCCGAAGGCAGGCAAGCAGGCAGGACAGACTTTTTACTGCTCAGAGCCCATCCCGCCACTCCCAGCGCCCACCAGGCCGACCCGCATTCGTCTGGAATGCTGCGACGCATGCGTCCGGCTGCGCGAGACGGCCCGGAAGATCCGCCCATATCTCGCGAGAGCGCATCGGCGGGATATCGCGAGTACTGCTCCAGGAATCCTTGGTGAAGCTGCGGCTTAGCGCGGGTCTCCGGCGCGCCGACTGACTGGGTGTTTCAGTTGTCGGCGTCTCGCTACAGGTAGGGGTTGGAGCGAGTGGGGGGCGGGCGCTCCGGGTTCTGAGGGACGTCCCAGATTCCGCGTGACGCGGATGTTGGCCTTATACCTCCACCCTGCCCAGGTCTAGGACAACCGGGTAAGCCCCGGCCAGTCCCCGGCCTCTTGACTTAATTACGGTCCACCGGCCAGTGCATTTCGCGTTTCCACCTGGTAACGTCCTCCGCCCTTTCGGAGGCTTGGCTTTCACTAGGTCATTCTACTAACTCAGTGTTTCTTATGTAGCACTATTGCCATTTGGAGCCGGAAGATTCTTTATTGTAGGAGGCAGTGCTGTGCGTTGTAGGAAGAGGTTAAGAGCATCTCTGGTGTGTACCTTTAAATGCCAGTAGTACCCCGCCCTGCGCCAAGTTGCGAAAATCAAAAATATCTGTAGACATTGCCAAATGTCTTCTGGGAGGCAAAAATTACACCCAGTTGAGAATCACAGAGCTAAACTTTATAGATGACCCAACGTTGTGTACTGTGAGGAAGACAAAGGCGAATCCGATTCCAAGATGCTTAAATCTAATTAGAAAAGGAACCATATCTCTCAGGGGCAATAATGAAAACATTACAGCCATAGAATTGAACAATAACTAAGATGCGTTGTAGACTAGGTAAAATGTTTAGAAAAACGTAAGGCCGTTGAAGAAAGTGATGAAGGACATCTTTATAGAAAACGTGTGACTCTTCACTGTCGTAATCGGGAGTATTTGGATGGTGGGCAAAAAGCATTGCTGAAAGGGGAAGTGAGCAAAGCAATAATAAAAAAAAAAATCAAGACCCTCTTGGAGAGAGTGGGGATTCTTCCCTGTCTCCAAATTTGTATGCTGGAGAGACAAAGAGTCTTAAGTTCTGTGGGGACAAAAGTGGGTCAATATCAGTTTTGTGCACAGCACAGAAGAGTACATGAGTTTTGAACTCCGACTATGAAAAAAATATTTAAGAGGCAGTAAGAGCCAAAGACTTCATAGAGGACGATCAGCCTGTAGATTTTGTTGGAAATAATTGTGGGAGAGGGACTTAGTTGGACTTTAAAGGATGGCTAGGGTTGCACAGGGAATAAGGGACAGTGTGCTCAGCATGAGAGAATAGTAACTTTAAAGAAGATAACAAGGTATCACAATACCTGACTTCAAACTATATTACAAAGCAATAACAATAAAAACAGCATGGTACTGGCACAAAAACAGACATGAAGACCAGTGGAAC